AGGAATCGTTAATGCCTTGATGGGAGAGAACATAGATGGGACACAGAAATGGGAAAAGTCACGATTAGCTTTGATAAAGGCCATCGGTGGCTACATGTTAGAGTTCTACTCTCCACCGAAGGCTGTGAAACCACGAAGCGGAGTCTTTTGCTCGGCGATAACAGAAGCGAGGGAAACCACAGCGCTCGAAATGCCAGACCACGAGAATACATTCGTCCTGAAGACTCAAAATATGGAATTTGTCATCGAGGCGCACGACTCGAACGACATGAAATCGTGGTTGGCGACGATTAGGTATTGTATGCGAACGGTACAGCAAAGTTCGAGCGCTCCTGGTTCCGGGCCGGGTGATTCTTTAGGAGATTCCCTGGGCCATGGTTCGCTTGCTATCGGATCCGACAGTGATCGATTACGAGCCAACTCGGCGAGTAAAAGCTTCCGATCCGCTAGTCATGAACATGGCGATGACTCGCAGGGTAATCCACCAGAATTACCTCCGAGACTCCACGTGCGCAGCAGTAGTAATCTAGAATTATGTTCCTCTCAGCAAGAAATTGAGCAAAGTAAGGAATAAATCTTGCAAAAGTAAGTCAGGTAAGGGCAATAAGTAAAAAAATATATATATATATTTGTTTTCTTGCAGTGTCTGCTAATGAGGGTGAACTGGATTTATCGAGTAGCTTACGAGAATTCCCGTGGTTTCATGGCACTCTTCCTCGTTCGGATGCCGCGCAGCTTGTATTACATAGTGCAGCTAACGGTCACGGTGTTTTCTTGGTTCGGCAAAGCGAAACTAGAAAAGGCGAATTTGTGTTAACTTTTAATTTCCAAGGAAGAGCAAAAGTAATTACATCATTTTCAACACTTAATGATGTTTAAACAATTTTTAATATATATGTATTGATTTTTATTACAGCATTTACGAATGACGCTAAATGATCAAGGCCATTGCCGAGTCCAACATCTGTGCTTTCCTACGATACATGATATGCTTGAACACTTTCGCCAGAATGCGATACCACTCGAATCTGGTGGGACTGCGGATGTTACTTTAACAGAGTACGTAGTGACGACGAACCATGCATCGCGACCAGGACACCATAACGTAGCGAGTAGCTCGAATGTACTACAACAGTCGCAAGAGAGGAGACCTCCGGCAACTCTGGAGCCCAGAGAAGTAAGAGTCTGCAGTGGAAGTCTAACTCCTCTTGTGTGAGCGCGAGTGGCCAACACCCACAGTCTGAAGTCTAATCTACAGACAGTGAGTAGATAAACCAGCTAAAGCGCCCATATTTATTGTATGGTCGATGATACAGAACAGATTTAATATCTGCATTTGTGCAAATTCGCTGGAAACTTAATGGAAATTTGTATAGATTGATATACAAAGTTAAATATAACGCACTCTATTTGTGTTCTATTTATAACAAAATCCGACATTTATTTAATAACTTATTTAATATATGTTTAAAAAATATGTACTCCAACAAGAGCAAAAATAATGTACTATTAAAAATTTCTTATGTTCATATTTTTTCCTAATTTTCTCATGTCCAAGGTACGTTATGTTACAGCACACTTTTACACATTTTATTTATTTATTATTTTATACATTTTATAAATAATTATTTGATTAAATTTGTATATCATTCGTCTAAATATGCAAAATTATTGATGATTATGTGATGAAATTTTAATGAAAAGTTTAGAATGATATAAATGTGTGAAATATAATATTCAGAGAAATATGACCGTGGGGCAAGGAGCTCGCTTTTAGTAAGTTTTTTTCTTGAAATTTCTGGTGTGCTTTATTATTGTATATTGCATATTATAAGAGATTTATGTTTCAACTTTGTCTCAAGCAATACAGGAGCATTCAGAAATCATTTTATCTAATTAGTACTCTGATAATTATAAAATAGAATTGCCACTTGCGACATTTATATCAGGAAGCTATGAAAGTATTATTAAATTGACAGAATATTATTAGAGTATTCTGGATGAAATATCCTGATTGCTTACATTTTCGCAAATGTTAGAAAAATTCTCGTCAATATTTCTTATTCTGAATCTATAAGGCTTATAATAATACACATTATGTTGTGTATATGTGTCATCAATAATATTTATTTCATGTAACTTTTTAGTTATTATAAAATTAAATGTAATGTATACACAAAATATCAAAATTCATTCTTTGACATGGATTTATATTTGCATTTGCCAGTTGCTTATATCTTTCATAGCATCAATACAACGAATCTATTACATTCAGTATCATTTTCTTAAATAATTAATTGTAACTTAGTTTCATTTTCTGAAATATTGAACAAGCCTTTTTCTAATATTGACATGTAATATTGATTATATTGTTTTATTATTTCTAAAATCCAGAAACTTTAAGAGAAACTTCTGATAAGATAGCAAGATTAAAAATATATATGAGTACTTAATGAGATGTTAATAAAATAGGTACGCACTTATGGTGGTTCTATAAGAACTCGCGTGGAATCGTTGGAGAGACTAGAGCAACAGAGCACCATTGTGGAACAGCAGGGCTCGGCTTCGTCCACCGGCAGAGCGGTTCAGAATACTTACAGTTTCCTTTGACGCTGGATTCACGCTAATCCGCCATCAGGCTACAATCCAGTCAGTCCGACGGACTGAATGTGAACGATATGATGAAGTAGTCGCAGTTTTTATCTCCAGAATTGCGTCACGCCATAAACCGCTGTTTTACGACAAAGCGTATCTCTTTGCTAGTACAAAAGAATTGCATTTTTCTTTTTAATATAACTATCTTCCAATCATTGACTCTTGCGTTCAGCATTCGACATTATACTTTTATGATTTATTAGCAACGCGTTTGCATCGCATTTACATCGAATAATAAGAAATAGAATAGACTACCAACAAAACGAGTCTCAGTTAGCAATGATCATTTCATAACGTGCTCAAATTATTCCCACCTCCTAATAATGCTGTAGCATTCCATGGAGCTCCGTTTCGCAGGTTTGCATGCATCTGTGACACGTCTTTTTCGTCGAGACCGAATTAATTAGGAAGTCTCCTCGTATATTTTTACTGAGAGAACGGATATATTTTAATGAAAGATCCCGAGTCTCGTTACACTGCTTAATTAATACACGTAACATTGTGCGTAAAAACGTATGTGTGTAATTGGAGAATGATAGTCTCCGAAATCTTGAATTATGGACTGCCAGTATAATGCAATCCCTATTTGTGTCTTTGGATCATCCCGAAAACGTGACAAGTGCGCCAAAGCTAAAGCTGAATTATTATTAAACCCCCGCTTCTCTCGTCACGAGTATAATTTGTTATACAAAATTGCATTTCAGCCGCATTGTCACTAATTCCGATGCTTCGTAGGGCGAATAGATGTAACAGATATGCCCTATAATCATCGATAAGCATAAAACGAGCTGCGGTATTTATAAATTACCCCAATCCTCGTCAGTGTAAAAATCAGTATATAAATTTCTCCTCTTGGGCGAATAACAAGAAAAAGGGGGAGAAAGAAAAATTCAACTATGTTATCATTCGGGATGAATGGAAAGAGCAAAATATTTCGTGCTACAGTAAGTATGGTCCCATATATCCCTGCAGAAATCATATTCGATAAGCGTATCGAAAAGTGTATTAACAAATTGTGTAACGACTAAGGATTATCACTAACATCATAGAGCAATATGACTGAGTGTGCAAAATTAGACTATAGACAAAATGTATGGATGAGTGATACACGTATGACAGAGAGCTATGATCGACGGAATATCCGATATGTGAAACGAGCAATGCAGATATTCTCAGTACGAACCGAACTGATTACTGTGATAAGATCTCTCATTCGCACAAGGCATTCAACAAATCCCGTCGCCGTCCGTTGCCAATCTATGTTCTTATTCATAGGAAACATAGAGGCAACAGGGACAAATTTATCAGACATTTGTACATTTCATTCACTATTCGCCATCGAAAATTGTAGAAATAGAATTTCCATCACGGTCTCAAAACAGGAAGAAGAAAAAAAACGTAGGAAAATTATAGTCGATCTGGACAAAAAATCTGTATCGCAAGTTCATCCTTTAGCCGAAATGCTCGCAAAATCATGCTGTAAGTAGGGTGTAAGCTTGTTCCTCGCGTAGCCGCAGTTGAACACACAGTCCTGAAGTATACAGAGTTTGACAACTAGGCATTCAATCGTAATACTTTTCTACCTTATGTCAAGATGCAAGGATGAAAATAAAAACTGAATTCCCTGAAAGTTCTCTAATATTACTTTTAATTATCAACAAATATTGTACAAAACATTTATTTATTAGATAGGAATTATTAGGAAGATGATAATCTTTTATAGAGTACACAGTCATTGATTTTATTTAATCTTTATAAGAATATATTTGCGTTATTAAAATTAATTTAGGGATATCTTCACCAATTTTTTTATTTGAAATTAGAAAAGTTTAATTTCTAAACTGTTCTCATCTGTAATTTTTATTCTAATTTCAAATAAAACATTTGTGAAAAATGAAAATTTTTTAATTTTAAAAATTAAAAAAGAAAAATAATAAGTTAAATCAAGATTAAAGTTAATCTTACATTGGAATCTCGAACTTGAATGAATCAAGATCCATTGCTCTAGCAAACACAATTTTGAATGTCAATGAAATTCAAAACGAATACTCTTTGATTTCGATTCAAGCCCAGTTTCACAATTCATAGTTAACTCTTAACTGAGGTTTAACTTATTCCTGATCTTTTTCTAATGCTAGAATTGAAAAGAGATGAGAAATAAGTTGAATCCTGATTAAGAGTAACTGTGAATTGTGAAACTGGGCCTGAATCGAAATCAAAGAGTATTCGTCGAGGGTCAATAAACTATTCTATATAAATCGACGTAAATGTGATTAACTTCTCATCATTATTAAATTAATTATATGATTTAATTATTAATTGTGACATTTAATTATACCAAATATAATAGAATGGTCGAAGAATATATAATAGAATGGTTGAAGAAATCCTCGATCAGACTGTTGTATTTTTTATTAAATTACTGACTGAGCTGATTCTCGATATCAACTGAAGAATCAATAAAACACACTTTTACAATTTGGATTTCCAAACTTCTGGGTACCTATTTCGAATTTTAATATCCTAACGCAGAAATGAGTATGTAAAATTAGATTTAAGCGATCATTTTATTATGTAATTTCGTAATTTTATTACGTAATTTCGTTTGACTTTGTGGGTTATATTTTGGGGTTATATAAAAATGTTATTATTTATTATCACTGAAGAAGACTTTGTAAGTCGAAACGTTTGATGAATTTTGTAACGTTGTGCGTATGTAATTAAAAAACAAATTTTATTTTTTGAGTTAACTATAATTGCTCGTTTAAAAAAAGCCTTGACACATTAATTATATTGCTTTGTGAAAATAATTAAACGATGATGAAAATTCTTCAAACGGTGATTACATATAAAATTAATGCAATAATATATCTTTGTGTTAAGTGCATTAATTTTTAATCGGATTTTCTTTTTTAGATATCTCGGGATTGTTTTTATCGGGCAAAAACATCAGCGGTCGATTCACAAACGCATATATATAGGGTGTATCAAAAGTCTGGAAATGGTCGTATAGCAAAGCTCGAAAGCAAAATATTTTTGAAAAAATATTTCAGACAAAAGTTGTAAGGTTTAAGAAGAACTATTCATTGATCACATCCATTTTATCTTGGGTGGCGTCACCAAGATTAAGTCAAGGTCAAATCGATTTTTTTTTAATGGAACACCCTTTTTGATGCCAGAATCTAATAGCTGATGTCAAGAGAGCTTTTCAAAACATTATAATAAATTTATTTTTCATTAAGTACTTTTCGAGTTATAAGAGTTGAAAGTACGATATCGTTAGTATTACGCAATGTGACCGACCGAGGACTAAAATCTCTTGACAGAGAAAATCAAAATGCTAGAGTGGAGCGAATGTCGCCATGTTTAGTGCAACGAAATAAGTAGGACATATGGTAGGAGCGTGATGGAACTATTGTACTGCACTAGTATTGGCTGTGTTTCAAAATTGACTGCCAGTACTGAAAGTCTATAGTGCACGTAACGTAACCTATAGCATTTTCAGTGCTGGCAGTAATTTTGGAACACGGCCTATGCATAGACGTGAGTATATATATATGATGTATGGATACACACGCACGCACGCACGCACGCAC